CAGCTGGTGGGGAGGCTCCCGGAGGCTCTGAGCAGGATGGTGATGTGCCAAATGTAGGCTTTTGGGGAGGGGTACCTGCCTATATCCGACTCCTGGATCTGCTGTGACAAATCACCACAGTTGGATGGCTTCAGACAACAGAGATTTTTTTCTCACAGTCCTCAAGTCCAGAAGTCCAAAATTGAGGCATCAACAGAGACATGCATCGTTGGAAAGCTCTACGAAGGAATCTTTCCCTTGCCTCTTCCTAGCTTCTGGTAGATTCCAGAGATCGTTGGTATTCCTTGGCTATGGACTCAGCCTCTGGTGTCTGCCTCTGTCTTCACATGGCCTCTCCGTGGGTCTCTGTGGCCCAGTGTTTTCATGGGGCTTCCCTTCCAAAGGACACCAGGTGTTGGATTTAGGACCCACACTACTCTGGTAGGACCTCTTCTTAACTGGATGACATCTGCAAGGATCTTATTTCCAAATAAGTTTCCAAATAAGGTCCCGTTCACAGTGACTGGGGTTAGGATTTCAACATATCTTTTTGGGAGACACAGTTCAATCCACAGCACTGACCTAAGGGTGCCGGGTGTTGGGCATGATAGAAGCTGGGCCAGGAGGCTGCTGCACTGACAAGTGGGGGCTGAAACGGACCCCTGGGGATGGGGGACAGTAGCCCAGGCAGTGGGTGGGCTGCTGAGGGCCCATGTGCAGTTGCTGCTCGGGGCCACCCTGTGGCTGCCACTGATCTGCCCTCATCACCCTGATCTGCTTCTTGCTGGGTGAGGCCTAGACTCTGCCAAGGGTATAGGGGTGCGGCCCTGTATGGGCCAAGGGGCAAGGCCAGGGTTTGGGGGAGAGAACATTTCTCTTGTGCCCTTATAGCCTCTGCTGAAATCTCTCCACGGGAGTGGGGGTGGGGCCAGTCCCCACAAGGGGTGGGGGATGGGAACCTAGGTGGGGCAGAGGTCAGTCCCATCCAGTCTCAGGAGGGGCCCTTCTCTGCTCGCTGCTCCCCAGGGAGAGCCCAGGCTGCAGTTTGGACTGAGTACGAGCAGGCATGCCCTGGCTCCAGGGCTTTGCCTGCAGGAAGAAGGGGGTCTCTCCCCAGAACTCCCAGCCATCCCAGAAGGGTGTGGAGGGCTCCCACACACCAATGCCACCACCGTCTGCAGGAAAGTCTGATGGAAGAGGATCTCGGGGTGCCCTGTGAGCACCAACGCCCCAAACTCTGGGCCTGGGCTTCTGGAGTCGGTACATTCAAGGGGGTTCAGCTGGGCCACATGTGAGTCCCCGCCTGTGCTCCTGGCTGCCCCCTAGCCCACTGTACCCAGCAACCAGAACAGCGGAGCAAAGACAAGAGTCAGGAGCCCCGGGTGCTGTACTGGCCCCATCACCACAGAGTTACTGTGTGTCCTTAGCCAGATCAATTCCCCTCTCTGGGCCTCACATCTCTGTGAGCAGCGTGAGGGCTGGACTCACGGTCTTCTCCCGGGTTCCCTCAGTGATGAACCTTGATGAGCCTGATTCACAGGAATGGTAGAATTGCAAGCAGTATGTGACAGGCACAGGAAAGGGGAGGTTTGGGCCCAGAGGGCTTTCCTGTTACCCTGCTCATCACAAGTAACAAATGGCCATGCCCGTTTCTGAAGATTTTGCTCAGTTTTAAGATGCTTCCTTCCAGCCGTCTGCTCAATTCACACAGTGTTAGCAGCACGGTGTGTGTGTGGGTGGGGGGAAGGCAGGAGGGTGGTGGGAGAGAATTTGGGGAGGTAGGCTGGGGTCAGATTGGGTAAGGAGCAGGGGGAAGGGAGGGAGGCAGCCCCTACCTGGCACATGTATGTGTGCGTGTATATACAGCAGGTGCCTGTGCACGGATCAGCTTATACATAATTCTGTGCATGGACGGGTATGAATACATGTAGGTGCGGGGCTTAACCACACATGTGTTACAGGCCCCTACCTGTTTGAACTTGATGTGTGGGTGAGAGCCCAGATAATTTAAGTTCAAAATGTCACGTCTGTGTCTATGTGTGCCTATGTGGGGGGCTGTGTGCGTGTGCACGCGCACTTGTGTGGGCCAACTGCCCTGCGCACGGGGTTGGGGTGGGGGGGCTGAACTGTACCAGCGCCACCTCTATGGGCAGCCTGCCTAGCCATTGGCTCCTGGTGGGGCCCCCAGAAGTGGTTCCATTAAGGAGGCAGCCTCAGGATGTGACTTGGCCAAGGTTCAAGAGCAGGGTTGAGCAGGCAAGCCTTTGGAGATATTTCTTGGAGGAGAAGCTCTAGCCTCAAAAGAGGACCCTAGAGCGAGGTCTTAGGTGGCCCGTGCTCTGGAGATGCCACGGAGATCCCTGAGGTTCCAAGCGTCAGGCCTGGGCTGTGGCACTGCTCTCAGAGCTGGCCAGACTCAGGGAGCATCATGGGAGGGAGGTTAGGGGTGGCGCCCCTGTGGGTCTCAGGAGTCCGAAGCCCAGCACCCAACTCTGAGGCCACCTCTCCCTCCCCTGCTTTTCCCCCACATTCCATGCTTGGGGCAACCTCATCCTCCAGGATTGTCCTGCCCCCAACCCTACTGTGGGCCGTCCCCCACCCTGCTCACTGGGAACGAGCACGTGCCTTTGGGCAGGGCTGGAGCACCAGGCTTCAAGCAGGAAGGCTGGGTAACCCCAGAAAGACGTTTTTGTGTTCTGGACTCCGTTTCTCCCTATCCGGCCTCACCAACCAGGGTCTCGGGCGCCTTCTCACCACTTCCAGCTTGGGCGGCTGCACCCATCTTCTTTCCCACGTCCCTCCCAGTCTCCATACTCACATGCTTCCCCTCTCCCAGCTCTTGGACCCTCGCCTTCTGGTCTTTGCTCAGGCTCCGCCCTCTGTCCACCTGGCCCCTGCCTTCGTGCCTGTCTCCCTTAACCAACTGTGAGCGCGTCGAAGGCTGTCTTCCATCTTCGGGTCCCCAGAGCCTAGCACACCGGCCTGGAACTCAGTGGTTGCTTTGTCTTCGCCAAGTGGAAGAATGAAGGAGCAGGGGTGTGAGGGAAGGAAGCCTCGCGGGGTGGGGGCGCACACACCACAGCGCTTGGGCTGGAGTTGTCTGCGAATCCGATTCCCTCACAAGTTAGGAACCAACCTTTCCCTGCTGGACTCCCAGCCTGGGGAGCACAGCCCACCCCATGGGGTGTTTGTAGAGGCCTCCCCCTGCTGACAAAGGAGGGAAACTCGACCTCTGGAAGCTTCTCTGGCGGCAGTGGGTCCTGCCTTGCCTGGGGATAGATGAGCAGTCTCTAATGAGCACGGAACAATGGCTTTCTCTGAGCTGAACGTGCTGTATCGTTTTTCCTCCTGATGACAGCCCTGCTTCGTGCCTCTCTCCTTCCCTCTCTCTCTCTATGGAAGGGGGTGTGCCTGGCATCCAACTGGTTTCCAGCTCTCCAGGCTGGTCTGGGGGCCTCCAACGAGTGCATGAAAAGCATCGCTGAATTTCAATTTCATATTTAGCCATCCCTCCCACCCCGGAGCTTCCAAAGGGCAGGGATCACCTGCTCATCCATCCGTTCAACAAATATTTATTGAGCACCAGCGCCATGCGCCCTGTGGACTCCCCTTTATTTCAGTCTCTCGTCCCAGCCCGAGCCTTAGCACACACTCAGTGTTCATGGAGAGGGGACACGCTGGCGGAGGATTCAACAGGTAAAAGGGGGCGAGGGTTGGGATCCTCACCAGGCCCTAGAAAACGCGCTGCAGTCAGACCAACGAAGGCCCAGGGGTCACACAGACTTGGCCGAGCCCTCCTCAGAGCAGTGGCCATTACGGGGCCCGGGTTGGGGGCTGCTGCCTCCCTGGTAAAAGCAGCAGTGGAGAGGTGGTTGGACTGAATGACCTGAGTCCCCTCCAGCTGTGCTACTCAGGGACCTGTGACAGGGCTCATCAGCCTGGTCTTCCCCACAGCCTCCATAGCGACAACCAGCCAGTCCACGCCGTGAGGCGGGACACAAGGGATGTGACCCTGTCACGCAGGGAACACGTGGTCCTCTTACCTGATACTGGACACAGGCCTGGGACTGGAGTGTTGGGGAAATGTTTGCAGAGACACACAGAAGCCTGCACTCACTGAGTGACACCGCGGGACCGGTGTCCCTGGTGCTTGAACAGAGGCCCCAGGCCAGGCCTTGCTGGACTCACTCTATGCTTACAGACAACCGTCAGCTGGTGAGCCTACTTCAGTCTGTACCCCCCGCCCCCCTTGCCCAGGGCAGGCCACCCAGTGTGTGCTTGTCACCACCCGGCCCCCACTGGGTTGGGTGGACTTGTGGGCGTGCCTTAGCCACTTCTCATACCCAGGACCAAGTAAAAAGCCAGCACAGAGCAGGCCATTCAGCTGCCGGAATAAATGAAGGTCACGCACTGCAAGGTCTATGAAAACACCTGCCAGTTGGCACGCTTCCTTGACCACTGCAAGGAGCTCCAGGCAGTGGATCAGAAGCGATGGCCCTCAGGTTGGGCAGGTGGCTGCGGGCTTAGGCACATTCCTGTCCTTGTCCTGTCTTCCCTCAGAGGGACTGACCCCTACAAATTCCATTTCCTGGACTTAGTCGCCAGTGGGTTCTGCCTAATCTGGTCCATGGGAAGCCCTGACAGTAGATCCAACGACGGACAGAGGAGCTGGGCTCTTCTCAGTGCCTCTGGCTTCGGATGCCAGTACCACCCATCCCCCAACAGCCCTCGAGGAGGTCCTGCCAGGCAGCCCTCCCAGCTTGCAGCTGCTCCCCAGGGGCAGGGTGGCTTCCTGCCATCACCAAGCTTGGGGTTGTCCGGGCTTCCTGTTTCCACCTTCGGCTACCCCAGCACCTCTGCTGCCACCCTCCTCCCCTCCCACCACGTCAGGTCCCCACCGCGTGGAGGTCATCTGCCCGCTCCAACCCAGATCCACCTCTTTGCCGTCACACGCCCTCCACCGTCGCCCAGCCCTGCTCTCTCCAGCCCCGGCCAGACCACGAAGAGACCACACACCATGGGCAGGTTGGAGGCTGTTTCTTTATACAAAGGTAATCAACACCACGGACCCATCAGCAGCCTGCGGTGGCTCATGCTGGTCCGTCTCACCGCCCCTGGGGCCGGGCCGCCATCGGAGAGAAATACTACACCGGCCTGGGGACTGTCCCGCACGCCGGCGGGGAGCTCCTGAAGGGCAGACACAGACACGAGGGCACTAGAACCAAGAGCACCACACACAAAGGAAGGAAACGCAGAGCCAGGACCAGCCGCTGGTGGCCACTGCCGACCCCCGTCTCCCAGGCGTTCTTCTGGGAGGCAAGGTGGCAGGTGGGAAGGGCCGCGGGCCTGGACCCCAGAAGCCCGGGTGTGCCACTACGAAGAACTAGGTGACTTTACGTGACCGCAGAGCGCCTCACCCTCCACGTCTGTAAACTGGAGATGATAAATCGCACTTCACAAAGTTGTCGTGAGGATGAACGGGGTTGAAATTGGGTATATATCAAAATAGTCGACACAGAGCCTGGCACATAGAGGTGTTTGATAAATAATTTTTCGTCAAGAAAATCTTAGCTCAGCTCGGAGAAGACCTTCTGCAGAGAGCTGACATGGGACAGAACTTCCCCAGAGATTCTCTATCAGGGGATCAGGACCCTGGAGCACTCCTTGGAGCCTGCAGCCGCTGGAACGGCCAGGGTTCCAGAATACACAGTGCCAGGGCAGTTGAGAGGGGTGGGGGGCTGGACTCCCAGGGAGGCACCCGCGGTAGCCGGGTAGACGGCCAAGGAGTTAGGGGTCGTGCCGAAATGGTTCTGCACGTAACACAGGCCGGACGCGGGCTGGTACGGGGGCAGGCTGGGCGCGTGCCCCGGGGGGCAGGCCAGCCAGGGGGCTACTTTCTGGCCGCTGGCGTGCTGCAGCTGGGCGACAAGGTGGCTCGGGGACAGGTGAGGGTGGGCGCTCTGCGTGGGGTAGGAGCCGGGCACAGGGTTCAGCCTGGAAAGGAACGAGAGAGAAAATGGTCATCCCCCACAGTGACGCCAAGGCCCCCGGCTGCCATTGTACTGGAGAAAAGCTTGGGGTCACCAGACCGCTTCATCTGGCAACACAGTTTGGCCATTTTCTGTAACTAGCTCTGAGCACCAAGTGGGAGGCAGGTTCACCTGAGCCGGTCAGATACCATGCCCCCAGAGGGAGGCGCCCATTCCCAGGCCTGCAGCCAGCCTGTAGGATGAAGGGGCCCTGAGCTCGTGACTAAGGCCACCTGAGGTGGAAGTGTTCACAGACTGTGCCACCCAGATGGAGGCGGGACCGGATCACAGCCGTCAGCGTGTCCGTGGCTGGCGCAGCAACTGCACCCAAAGAGAACGGCCCAACCTCGGGGGGAGGAAGGCAGGAGGGCTCTAATGGGTAACCCAGGGCTTGGGCCCAGCCGTGACTGCTGTGAGGTTTTCTACCTGTGGCTTCAGGAATGAAGACTCACAGTTCCAAGTCCTGGTGGCAGGAACCAATGAGCCAGATGTACGGAGCTGCCCGTGCAGAGTTCAAAGACCCCACCACAGACCATGTGGCTGGGCATGAATGGAGACACAGCCCGAGGGTTTTACCCCCTAGACTTCAGCAGAATTCCAAATATAGAGAAGGACTGTCAATACCACTGAGGTTTGTGTTAGATGATTGGACCGAATCTGTAGATATTTCAGTTAGAGCCTGATTTTACGGGGTGCCTGGGTGGCTCAGTCAGTTAAGCGTCTGACCTCAGCTCAGGTCAGGATCTCACGGTTCGTGAGTTGGAGCCTCATGTTGGGCTCTGCGCTGACAGCTGAGAGCCTGGAGCCTGCTTCGGATTCTGTGTGTCCCCCTCTCTCTGCCCCTTCCCTGCTTGCGCTTTCTCTCCCTCTTGGGAAAAAAAAAAAAGAAAAAAAAAAAGAACTCGATTTTACAAATCAGTTGCTTAAGTACAGGAACAAAGCACTTAACAGCACTTCTGGGATTCATAAAACTATAGAGGATTTGGGCCACCAGAGGCTCTCCAAGAACCTCCAAGGACGCAGAGCTGTCCAGATCACGTAACTGCCAAGACAAACACGCATGTTGTAATGCCTGTGTCCCCCGCCAGGCCGTCTTGAGACATCACGTTCTGTTCTGGGTGCCAGTACCAGGCCCTGATAACGAGGGATCGTATGCCATGCCATGTGAGGGACACAGAAGGAACTGAGGGGTCACCATCTCCCTGACCCAGATCTGTTGGCCATGATGAAACGGAATGAGACTGACACCTAAGTGTCCCAGTTACAGACAGGCGGCTGTGATTCAGCATGGGAGAACTTTCTCCAGAATGGGGCCCCAGCCGGGAGGGGGGTGTAAGTTCAGGCCGAGTGACCACCCTCAGCTATCTGAGAGGGGGGTTTCCCTCACTGGATGCAAGTTTGTACCCAAAGACCCCTTAAGTCCTCTCTCGTGTTTGTGAGAACAACAATGAAAAACCTAAAAGCCACAATACACCTAAATTTCAACAGGCTCCCCCACATTTATACCCCAGGGATCCCCTGCTGAAGCAAACGGGTGCGTGTGCCTTTCTAACTTTCCCAGCACTCCCCAGCAGTGCCCTCCCCTGCCAACGTTCCCAGCCTGTAGGAAACGGCCAGAGGGCCCTGAGCTGGTGAAGGCCAGGGGCATCCACCCCCCAAAATCAGCTACAAACAGCTTCCAATTCAACCGGAACCCTGCTTCTAGGGTGGCCTGGAGCGCACAGTCTATTCCACAGCCGGTTGAAAGTAGAAAAGGGCCAGTGGCAAAGCATCTGAACCTCACGGTGAGTTGTTTCCTTTGGGGAGACCGCTGGAGGAAGAAAACTTCCTATGTGGTGAAGCTAAGCATGGATGCAAGCAGAGGCCAGCAGTGGGGAACAGTGGAAAGGGGGTGCACTGGACCTGGAAGAAGCGACCGTAGTTCGAGACTGGGCTCTCTCACCCCCATTACCTAGAGAAACGGGGCCTCCTCTCTGGTAGGAAGGAGTGAGACTACGTGAGCATGGGTGGCTTGCCTACCACCTTCCATGGAGTGGGTAAGCCTAGACTAGAAGACTGAAACCTCACCTCTTGCTGGGTGGCTGAGAAAATGCTACCTCTCAGGTCCTGGGCTGTTTCACGTCCAAGCCACCTAGCCAGCTGTGTGGACTGCCTGCTTCTTAACCTGTGCTCCATGTCAGAGCCCAAGCGGACCTGTGCAGCGTGTGTCAGTGCCCAGGGCTGGTAATAACACTGGATGGGGCCACTCCGTCCCACAGACTGTCACAAGTCACTCAGGATGATGCATGAGCGCTTTCAAATGCCTCCCCTTTCCCGTTCCAGCCGGGCAGAGTCTAGATGTGCATGCATGTTCTGGGCCCAGACCGGCCCACACCCTGTCCCTTCCTCCCATGATCCTGAGCCAGCCACCCTCTCTGTACAGGGCCTGGAGTTACTTCAAGAATAAGCTTCAAGAATACTGTAACTTACTTCCGGCTGTGGGCGGCCCTTCTTTCGGCTGAAGAGCCTGAGATGTACTTGAACACTGAAATCTTCCTCATCAGGCTGAAGGGGAACTTCTGGTCGAGCTTCAGTGCTACCCGCTCTGAGAGGTCGATGGAATAGCAGTAGGTGAGGCCATCTAAGTTGACATATTAAGGAAAATTGGAGGCAGCTCAAGGGAGGAGGGCCGGACCCTACTCACAGAGTACAGGCTCCCACGTTTATTCTACAGCGGGATTAGCGCCCATCCTAACACAAGCTCGAGCTCAAGGAAAACCGAGAGTTGAGTTTCTAGTCCCTGCACCTCAGAGGGAACATGAGCCAGCAGTTGGGGGAGAGGGGCAGACCGGTGCTGAGCCGGCCCATCCCTCAAACCCTGTCATTCCTGCAGTCCGTCAAGCCAGCACACAGCTCTGTCCCTGCAGCGGGACGAGGCAAGAGGCTGTCCCAGTGCCCTCTGGGAGGACTGACGTCATCTTGTACTTTCATCCCCAAACAGAAGGCACCTTGCCTCAACGTGACCGAGTGAGCTTCACGTGGGACTCTTGGGCAGCTATTCCCTCACACTGTCACCACCCCCACCAAGTGGGCACTCTGGCCATCTGAGCCTTGTCAACCCACCACTGCCTAGGCAACCATGAAGATTCAGCTTTATCTGTCCGTCCGTCCATCCATCCTTTGGACAAATATTTACTGGACAGCTGTCATACAGCAGGAACTAAGGAATGAGTAGTGCCAGACAAGGAGTAAGTCACTGGGGAAGAGTAAGTGGTGATCAGCAACAGCTTATCTGGAAGACCAGGCTGGGGACCCTGACCTAGTCGAGGGAGATCAAGGCAGCTTTCTCTAGGAAGGGATGAGCATGCTGAACCTAAATCGTGAGCAGCGGCAACTGGAAGACGGTGGCGATGGAGACAAGCCTGTACGGAAGCACCCAGAGCGTTCCTGAAGGCAGTGCCCTTCACTGGAATGCCACTGGCAGAGTGAGCAAGACAGTTCTTTGTGGGGCTAGACTGTTTCACTCAGCATCTCCGACCATCAGCCACTAAGTGGCAGTAGCACCTAGTCATTGTGACAACCAAAAATGGCCCTGCGTGTCACTAAATTCTTTCCGGGAGCAGTACATCTCTGAATGCTGATTTCCGATGATAACCGATGCTGTGAGGGAGTCCAAAGGCATCGCAGCTGATGACTTCAGAATGATCTCAAGAATCTCTCTGCCTCTGCCTCTGAAGTCCTAATACCAGACTAATCCCCCCACCGCAGATAACTGTGAGCTGGGGTACACCCTCTCACATGCTTGCCTTCAGGCTCTGAACAGCAGACACTGCCAGGCTGTGATACCTACAAAAAGGGAAACAGATGCAGTGAGCCTCAAGATGGAGCTGGCTTTCAGCCTGGAGGCACTTTCCGAACTACAGCATCCAAAGGGGAGTCCAAGCAGAGTCTAGCTTTTTTTTTTTTTTTTTTTTGCTGAATTGGAGAGAGAGATAAAGAGTTCAGGGAGGAAAGAGGGCCTGGGATTCCCAGATCAGAGTAATGGAGAGAAGGGAGGTGCTCAGGGAAGGAGCTCCAGAAACACGCACGGGGTTCCCTGAGTCTTTAGCTGAAGGCCAATGTCCACACCGACAGGCCAGGACTCCCCAAGCAGGTGAAGAACAGCTGCTGAGCTACTGAGGGAACAACCATCAGGGAGCTGTTCGCTTAACAACTCCTGGAGCTCACACAGGGCATGGTAACGCTTGAGTTCTAACCACACGGGCAAAGAGACCTCCCTGGCACCCAGGGCATTCCGAGGAGCCTTCCAAAAGCTAATGCTTTGACAAGTAAATTAACTGCCTATGAGGGAAAAAAGAATCAACACTTGTTAAAGAAAACAAAAAAAAAAACCACAACTCGGCCCTGGATACCACAACATTCACAGTGTCTAGTGTAAACTAAAAAATTACGAGACATGTGAAGAGGCAAGAAAATGGGTCCATGATCTGCAGGAATCTCTCTGTCAAAAAGAGATCCCGAAATGATAGACATGACAGTGTTAACAGACCAAGGCTTTAAAATAGCAACGGTGAGGGGCGCCTGGGTGGCTCAGTCGGTTAAGCGTCTGACTTCGGCTCAGGGCATAATCTCACAGTCCGTGGGTTCGAGCCCCGCGTCGGGCTCTGTGCTAGCAGCTCAGAGCCTGGAGCCTGCTTCGGATTCTGTGTCTCCCTCTTTCTCTGCCCCTCCCCTGCTCGCTCTCTGTCTCTGTCTCTCAAAATAAAATAAAGACATAAAAAAAAATTGTTTTTTAAACTGTGATGGTGAACAGCTATTTTATAAATAGCTACTATACGTAAGTATATGAAGAGTTTAAAGGAAAACACAAACACAATGAAGGAACAGATAAAAGATCTCAATATGGAAATGAAAACTATAAAAAGAAAAAAATAGAACCTCTCGAGTTCTTGCGCTGAAATACAACATGAGAAATAAAAAACCAAGCAGACGGCTTTAACAGCTGAGCACACACTGAAGAAAAAAACATCACTCAACAGGAAAGCAACGCAACAGAAAGTATCCAAACTGAAATGGAGAGGGGGAAGAAAGCTAAAAATATACAAAATAAACAGAGCCCCAGGGACCCACTGAACATATAAGTAGTCAAACATATGTGCAATTGGCACCCTGAAAGGAGATGGGCAAGTAGAAGAGAAAAAAAAATACTCGGAGGATAAAAAAATACATAATGAGGATTTTTTTTTTAGACTTGTATGAAAACTGTAAACTCACAGAGCCAAGATCCAATGACTGACTACAAGCAAGGTCGACACAAAGAAAATCACTCCAAAGGCACCACGTGATAATTAAATAGTGAAAACCAATGGTAAAAAAACTGTGAAAGAAGCAGAGAAAAGAATGAATTATGTAGGGAAAACACTAAAAATATTTACTGATTCTTCACAAAAAAAGAATACAAACCGAAAGTAATGCAATGACATCTTTAAAAGTGAAAGAATATCAGAGAAGGCCAGAATTCTGTATTTGGTGAAATAAAGGCATTTTCAGAGAACCGAAAGCGGAGTCAATTTGTCACCAGCATACCTTACTGGAGGGTATGGGTGTGAAGGGAGGTTCTTCGGGCAGAAGAAAAATGATACCAGATGGAAACTTGAATCCACACAAAAGAATGAAGAGGATTATAAATGGTAAGTATGTGAGTTAATGCTGGTTTTTTTTTAAATTAAAAAATATATAATTGACTGTTTAAAACAAAAGTAATAGCAATGTAGGGGTGCCTGGGTGGTTCAGGTGGTTAAGTGTCTGACTATGGCTCAGAGTCTGTTAGCACAGAGTTCAGGTTCATGGTTCATGGGTTTGAGCCACGTGCTGGGCTCTGTGGTACTAATAGCTCAAAGCTGGAGCCTGCTTCAGATTCTGTGTCCCCCTCTGTCTCTGCCCGTCCCCTGCTTGCGCTTTCTCTCTCTCAAAAATAAACATTTAAAAATGCGCATCTTAAAAAACTTTTTAAAAAGTAATAGCAATGTATTGTGAAGTTTATAACACGACAACAGTAGAAATAAAATGTAGGACAACGATAACATGAAGAATGAAGGGAGGGAAAACAGAAATATAATCTGTAAGATTCTTCAGTTATATATAAAGTGTTATATTACCCGTAAGTAGTCTGTGATAAATTAAAAATGTGTATTGTAAACCCTACAGCATCCACTAAAAACTAAGACATAAGACAGCAAACCCATAAAAGCCTATCTTTAAAAATGAAATAGCAGAACAATATTCAGTTGAAGCTAGGAAAAGAGGAAAAAAGGCACAAAAGAACATTTAGGACAAAGAGAAAACAAAAAGCAAGCAGGTAGACTTAACCCCGACCATATCAATAATTATACTAAATGTACATGAGCTAAATGTGCCATTTAAAAGGCAGAGATAGTCAGATTGGAGAACCAACTATATACTATCTACAAGAAACATGTTTTATTTTTATTTTTTTAAATATTTACTTATTTTGAAAGAGAGCATGAGCAGGGGAGAGGCAGAGGGCGTTAGAGAGAGAAGGGGGAGGGAGGGAGGGAGAGGGAGAGAGAGGGAGAGGGGGGGGAGGGAGAGAGAGAGAGAGAGAGAGAGAGAGAGAGAGAGAGAGAGAGAATCTCAAGCAGGCTCCGAGCTAACAGCACAGAGCCTAACACAGGGCTGGATGCCACGAACCATGAGCAACATGAGATCATGACCTGAACTGAAATCAAGAGTTGGGTATGTGGGGTGTCCAGGTGGCTCAGTCAGTTAAGTGCCCAACTCTTGATTTCAGCTCAGGTCATGATCGCACAGTTTGTTGTGTTTAAGAACCGCACGGGCTCTGTGCTGATAATACAGAGCCTGCTTGGGATTCTCTGTCTTCTTTTCTCTCTGCTCCTCCCTCACTCATGCTGTCTCTCTCTCAAAATAAATAAATAAACTTAAAAATAAAAGGTTTTTGTAAGAGTTGGGCGCTTAACCAACGGAGCCACCCAGGTGCCCCAAGAAATAGGTTTTAAATTTACAGACACAGGGGCACCTGGGTGGCTCCATTGGGTAAGCACTCAGCTCTTGGTTTTGGCTCAGGTCATGATCTCACGGTTTGTGGGTTTGAGCCCCACATTGAGCTATGTGCTGACAGTGTGGAGCCTGCTTGGGATTCTGTCTCCCTCTTTCTCTACCACCCGCCCCCCCGCCCCACTCACTATCTTTATCTCCTAAAATAGATAAATAAACATTAAAAAAATTTTTGAAGACACAAACACATTAAAATTATAAAGATGGAGGAGTACCTGGGTGTCAGTTAAGGTTCCAACTTTTGGTTTCAGTTCGGTTCGGTTTCGGTCATGATCTCACAGTTCATGAGTTCGAGCCCCACGTTGGGTTCTGCACTGACAGTGTGGAGTTTGCTTTGGATCCTGTCTCCCTCTCTCTTTGCCCTTCCCCCATTCGTGCTCTTGCTCTCTCTCTCTTGAAAATACATAAACATTAAAAAATACCTATAAAGATGGAAATATATATACCCTGTAAATCCTAATTTTAAGAAAGAGAGGTGGAACTGCATAATAATACCAGCTAAGAAAGACTTTAGAACAAAGAATATTATCAGAGACTAAAATCGTCCATTTCACAATGATAAAAGGTGAATTCATCAAGATGACATAACAATCCTAGATACATATGCATCCAATGAGACCTTCAATATACTTGAAACAAAAACTGACAAGAATTGAAAGGAAAAAATAGAAAAATCTACAACTTTAGTTGGAGATTTCAACAGTCCCCTTTCAGTAACGGATAGAAGAAAAATAACTGCATAGAAGGTTAGAATAAGATCAACACCTTGACCTAACTGCCATACACTGAACACTACACCCACCAACTGCAGAGTGCACGTTCTGTTTAAGTACACATAGAACATTCACCAAGATCTATCAAATGTTGAGCCAGAAAATAATGTAAAAAGACTACAATCTTCACAAGAATGTTCTCTGACCTTATGAGAGGAAATTAGAAATCATCAATAAAAAGAAGTCTGGTATCACCAAAAATTTAGAAATTAAGCAACTCACTTGTAAATAACCCTTCGATCTAAGAAAATATCCCAGGGAAAATTAGAAAATACTTTTAACTCAGCGAAAATGAAAATATAACATCAAAATTTGTGGGATGCAGCTAAAATAGTGCTTACAGGAGAGTGAAAAAAATTTTTTTTAATTTTATTTTTGAGAGAGACAGAGTGTGAACGGGTGAGGGGCAGAGAGAGAGGGAGACAGAATCTGAAGCAGGCTCCCGGCTCTGAGCTATCAGTGCAGAGCTCAGCACGGGGCCTGAACTCATGGACTGAGATCATGACCTGAGCAGAAGTCAGATGACCAACTGACTAAGCCACCCAGGCGCTCCTTACAGGAGAGTTTATAGCTTTAAATTTTCATATTAGAAAAAAAGGTTTGGGGCCCCTGGGTGGCTCAGTCATTCAGCTCAGGTCATGATCAGTTTGTGGGTTCCAGCCCCTCGTCGGGCTCTGTGCTGACAGCTCGGAGCCTGGAGCCTGTTTCAGATCCTGTGCCTCTGTCCTTTTCTGCCCCTCCCCTGCTTGCTCTCTCTCTCTCTCTCTCTCTCTCAAATCAATAAACATTAAAAAAAAATTTTTTTTAATTAAAAGAAAGGTTCAAAATAAATGCATTAAATTTTTAAAATAAGATAAATAAGAACTATGTGATCAATGTGTAATTACCTACCCTAATAGCTTATAGAATCACAGACTGAAAGAGATTTTAGAGGGTGCCTGGGTGGCTTAGGGGGTTAAATAAACCATCCTTGATTTTGGCTCAGGTCACATGATCTCATAGTACAGGAGATCGAGCCCCATGTCGGGTTCTGCTCTGACAGTGTGGAGCCTGCTTGGGATTCTCTCCCCCTCTCTCCCTAACCCTCCCCTGCTCAAGCACTCTCTTGCTCTCAAAATTAGTAAACTGAAAAAAAAGGACATTTTAAGAATGTACCTTATCCTTCCTCCAACACTAACCGTTGAAGAAAGTAAGCCACGTTGAGGTACCTGGCGGATTCAGTTGGTAGAGCACAAGGCTCTTGATCTCAGGACTATGAGTTCAAGCCTCATGTTGGGCGTAGAGATCACTTAAAAAAATTTTTTTTAATAATAAAAAAAGGTAACCCACATTGTATTATAAAATGCCCCCCTTACCCCCTCAACTGCCAGAATATTTATACAAGAGATGTAAGGCTTATCCTAAGTTTTTAACCATCCACTGGATCCTGTCTTTAAAAAAATTTTTTTGGGGGGCACCTGGGTGGCTCAGTCAGTTAAGCATCTGACTTCGGCTCAGGTCATGATCTTGTGGTTTGCGAGTTTAAGGCCCATGTTGGGCTCTGTGCTGACAGCTTGGAGCTTGGAGCCTGCTTTGGATTCTGTGTGTGTGTGTGTCTTTCTCTCTGCCCCTCCCTCGTTCTCTCAAAAATAAATATTATAAAATTCTTTTGTTTTTTTTCTGACAAAAAGACTAAACCAAAGCAAAGCCAAACCAAACAAACCTACTTCCTATTCCTTTCATGGACCATCTCCAGCTCATGGGTATTTCAGATTCTTCCAATAAAAACTCGTGTCCTAAGTAGCCAAATGTAGGGCTTATGCCTCTGTTTACGAGGGAAAAAAACCTCAAGTCAGAATATTTCACTAACTGGCGGTGCTACGCTGGCGTGAAAAGAAAGCTAGCTATGTCAACACTTTGAGATGGGCAAACTCTGGCCTAGAGAAGGGAAGTGACCCACCCAAGTCCACATGATTTCAAAGCTGAAGTTCAAATGTAGATTACCTATGTCTGAGCCCACAGCTCTACCTACCTATGACCACCTCTGACCCCCATCCCCCACTGTGGCTTACTATTCACAATGTCACCTCCCTACATCCCTTCCACGAAGGATACATGTGAGCCCAATCCCAAGTCCACAGACATTACTGAGAAAGGAGGTCTGGGGGATGAGCCACGAGGCACACAGCAGGAGCCACGGCACCAGCATCGAGGGCACAACCATGCCGAAGACCAGGGCCCTCCTCATCCGAGAGCGGACAGAGTTGACCCCCAGCATGGCGAAAGCCACTGGGGTGAAGCCTCTGGCATCCTCCACCTCCCCCAGCTTCGAGAGCGAGGACACAGCTTCAAACGACAGGAAGATGATAGCGGAGAAGATGGCGAAGATCACGGTGAAAAAGCAGTGGCGGACGGTGCCCACGGTTCTCTCTAAACTGCCGGCAAAGCGCCAGATGATGATGGCACCACACAGCAGAGAGACTGGATTCTCATAGACAAAGATGTACGTGACCAGCCTGTAAACTGCAGAGGGGACAGGGTTAGCGGCTGGACCTCGAGTGGCTCTAAAGGAGGGAAAGCCCAGTTATAACCCACCTCGGGAAGGGGGAGTGGCTGGCTGTCAGCGCCAGTGCAAATCAGCCAGGAGCCACGAAAGGCAGTGGGAGACAACACTGAAGGACCCAAGACTCAAAGCAGAAGTGTGACATCCAGTCCTTGTTCTCTTTCCCGGACCTGGAGCAAGTCCGTGACTAGCTTCCACGTGGGGAAAAAAAATAATACTTTTTAGCATGGGACAGTCTTGGAATTTGTAACGTGCTTCATAATCCTTTTTAATTCATTTATTTTTTTGAGGTTTTTAATACTGACCTATCTCACCGGGCAGTTTGAGGGTTAATTAATTGTAACAGCTTCAGGGTGGATTGAGTGGGTATCACTTAACACTCTGTGCCAGTCTCCTCGCTGTAATCCTGACCTCTCCTTCCATAGTGGCTGTTCAGAGGAAGAAAAAAGGGACCGTGAATTATTTTGCACCTGGAACGATGATAAAACTATCACTAATAAAATATAGAACTCAGACATCTCTCTGGAAAGTGCGTATCCAACCTTAGAGGTAGAGCAATGCTTTATGGCGATAAGACAGCAAAGAATCTTACTCCTATTTTTTTTCTAAAAGCAGTCACTTCTCATGTATTTTTATGTCCCCACAGGCCAAAGCACTAAAGTGAAGGAGGGGATTGGCGAGGTAGCAATAATATTGAACCTTGGAGGCCTAAAGGCTTGTAGTGGAATCTTGGCTCGGTCACGTCCAGGCTGGCTGAGCTCAGTCAAGTCATGGGTCCTGCAAGCTTCAGTTTCTTCGTCGTAAAGTAACAGGATTACAGGATTGCATCCGAGGGCTTCAAAGATCTCTTATCTGTCAAATACTCACATGCCCGTGATCCCCACACTCTGAGAAGCTGTGAGCTAAAGGGACAAAAGGGGAGCTCGGTTTACACTGGCACCCTAAATATCCCTGAAGACGCGCTCTCTGTAGCTAGGGTGCTGGTGGCGAATAGTTTTTGATTTGAACAGGGAAGCAACCATATACTTCAGGCCATCTCTGTAAGGTTTCGTGATCTGATGAGTACTTTATTTTGTCGAATCATTCCAAGCACAAACGTGAAGATTCTAGAAGTAACTCTGTATGAGCTGGGTATTATAATACACCACCAAGGCTCCAGTTCCCAAACATCACACACTAAAAAAAAACCAACCCGTGTTTCTGTCTCTATTGCATGACTTAATAGCTCTTCGATTCCCCATTAACGCCTGTTTCACCTAAATAATGGGGAATAATAAAGCCCACGTCACAGGACGGAGATTAAAGCTCATGAGTGTGTTCTTTGCAAAACAACAAAAGCTATACAAATTTCCCATTTTCCTCCCCAGAAAAGAATGGGGAAGACACAGAGACTACAAAAGTCTCTCATGAGCCGATGTTATATTCAATTCTCTAGAGAAAACAAACACCTTTCCCAAGGCACACGATGCCTCCTCCCTCCCATGAGCTGGGAATAGGGTGTCTGGATTAAGATACACACAAGTCAACAGAAGAAATTCTAAACCCCAAAGAGGCCGGGACGCTTATCGGGAGGGGGTGGCCACAGTGGATGCTTAAGTGTCCTTAGAAGGCGAGAAAGACATTTTTTTTGTCAGTGTGGAGGTGAGGAAGTGTGTGTGCGACGGGAGAGGAAAAAATCCTCCGCGGAGAGAGAGCCTGAGTGAACGAAGCCGGTTTGCTGGCGCAGGAGTGTGGGGCATTAACCAGGCCGGTGGCGCCAGGGGAGGGAACAAATTCGGGTACTTTAGATGGAGTAATAGGAAGATGGGACTCTAGAGGGACAACGACGCGGGATATGGGACTGGTCCTCCGGGCGGGGAGAAGGATGGTGCGGATGGAGTGGCTGGAGGTGCTGCCTGCGGCTCGGACGCAGGGATGGCCTGGCGAGGTGGTGGGAAGAGGGCTGGCCCCCGCGGCCCGGCACCGCCTCTGCTCACCTTGCCAGTTGCGCAGGGCCTCGGACCGCAGCGAGAGGCCCGAGGGCGCCAGGGGCGGCTGCAGCAGGAACAGGCGGGGCCCGGAAACCAGCAGCGAGAGCAGCGCGGTGAAGAAGGTGGCGGATGGCACCTCGGGACACAAGGACCAGCTCCGAGACCCGGGCTCCGAGACCGCCATGGCCGCCATCGTTCCGCGCCCAGCCTCGTCGCGGGCTCCTTCCGCCTCCCTGCGGCTGTCTCCCCTGGCAACAGCGGCGGAGGGAGCCGGAAGCCCCGCCTCCTCAAGGCCCCGCCCCATGCCGAGCTGTCCAATCCGCTTGTGCCGCCAGCCTCCCGCGCGAGCTGGCCGCAGGTAGTCGGATCAGCGCCCTCTGGCGTGCAATCCTGGGGCCCCGCGCAGGTGCGCTGCCGGGACAGCTTTGGGGACGCCGGTTTGAATTCCATATCCTCGGCTCCAGATACCTAATGATTACTGTGTCTTGCCGTTTACAGAGCTCTTTCACTCACATACACACACGCACGCACACGCACTGACTTATCTGTGCTTATCCGCATTATACCGATGAGGAAACTGAGGTCTGAGGAGGGCCCTGAGTAATTCGTTTGAATGGCAAAGACAATTCGTTAGGCCTGGCATTGGCTGGGAGTACAGCCGGCGCAGCTTTCCGTGGCTGGAGTGGAGAGGAAGGGGCAGGAGATGAAGTCTGAAGCGTTAGAATGTAACATAAGCACCTTAACCTTCAGGTCTATTTCAACACTTCAAATCGGACAGAGTACAGCTATTTTAGGTAGACAACTGGAATGTTGTTTTCCTGGTTCCAGATGCGCAGGAAGGCGAGGCAATCTGCCCAAGGTCACAAGCACAAAGTGGTAGGATTAGGATTTGAATCCCGTTTGGGACGCTCCAATTTTCTGCCCTTTTCGCTATTCCCCCTCCTATCCCACCTACTGCTACCTGGATGTAAATTTGACTCGAAGCCGCACGACTACTGAAAAAGATACCATGCTTCGCTCTTTGCACTGGACATTCGTGTCCATTCTCTGGCCCTACTCTGCACACTCTGCAATTCTGACAGTGTCCGTGTTCCCATGGGCCTCAGGACGGAGATTCTTTGTGTCCTTTGTGGTCAGTGCTAAAAAATAACCTTATAATTTTCCGGGGATTTAATATACATATAAAATCCCCAGAAAAGTATACATATACACATGTATACACACACACACATACATACATAAACACACATAGTAATGAGACAAATTTAAGGTTTTTAAACTATTTTTGAAAGAGAGTGAGAGCTAGAGCATGAACTGGGGAGAAGCAGAGAGAGAGAGAGAGAGAGGGAAGGAGACTCAGAATCCCAAGCAGGTTCCAGTCTCTGAGCTGTCAGCACAGAGCCCAACGCGGGGCTCGAACTTACAAACTGCGGGATCATGACCTGAGCTGAAGTCAGATGCTTAACCGACTGACCACCCAGGCGCCCCATCAATGGGACACATTTCAATGAACACTGGGTATAGTTAACTCACGCTTCTCATGGTGCAGCAGTGGGCATACAAATTAATTAAGGTTTATTCCACAGGAAGCAAAATATGAATCAGGAGTGCGGGAACTTGGGCTGCTGGAACCGTGGGAAGAGGAAGCGGGGGTGGTCCCAGCTCCTCTGTGCCAGTCAGGCAGCCCCAAGAATTCTGGGTCTACTTCTAGACACCCATCCTGAAAGAGAATGTAGGAAATTAGAGCTCGTCTAACAAAAAAGACCAGGACTAGGAAGGAAGCAGGAGGGGTGGGGGAACTTCAAGTCATAACTCACAAGAACAATTAAAGGAACCAGAGAGAGATTTCTCGAAAAGCTTCAGGGGTCCTGCCCACTGGCTGTAACTATCTGGAGGCTTTCCCTGAAGGTGCGGGGGTAGGTTTATTCTGTGTCACTCCAGAGGGAAGGATTGAGACCGAAAGGTGGCAATGACAACGAGACCACATGACATAAGGAAGCCCTTTCTGACAGTTTGGGTTGTCCATCCTTGGAATGAGCTGCCTTATCAGTAGTGAGCTCCCCGTCTCTAGTAGTGTACAAGCAGAAGCCATGTGGTGACTTGAGAATATCGAAGATATTCAAGCATCCATTTGAGGTGGAAGTAGATGGCTTTTAAAGTCCCTTTGGATACTTTATTTCTAAGTCTCCACAAACAAAGCCGGACACATGTGCAGGGATGATACATTTACTACTTGCCAGGGGGTCCAGGAAAAGTGCATTTGATCTCCTGGCAGAACAAGAGTTGTAGTGATTTCACATATCCTGCAGTCCAGGGAGCCTCCGACAGTCTCCTGCTCTCTGTCTCTGCCTCTTCCTCATTTTCTCCCCATTATGCCTCCAGAAATCCCCAAGACCTTCTCTTCAGTCAGGGGACAGAGAACTAGCATGAGCAAAGCGGAGCCTTCTTCAGCTCGAGGATGGGGCCCTGCGGGGCTACGAATCATTTTTGTTCTACCTGCTTTGCCCTTGGTCTGCAGAGAGACTTCGGGTCTCAAATGTGCTACCCAGGGACACCTCTGTTTATGGTTCTACCAGACACCCTCTTCCGGCTTGGAGAGGGTCTGGTTCTCCAGGGACCAGGCTTTGAGGCTGAGAGACAGAAAACAGACACACACACACACACACACACACACACACACACACCCCACTGTGGAGTCTCTAGATCAAATCCATGAGCAAGTGCTATTGGCTGCACCTCTAACACATTCTTTACCCAGCAGCAAGGGTGAGTTTGTGTGCGTGTGCATGTGCGTGTGTCTGTGTGTGTGTGTGTGTGTTAAGTCAATCATAAGAGCCCGGGTGCGTCTGTGTCCTATTCCCTGTGAATCTTCCTCAGCTTATCTTTCCACCAGTTCATATACCTTGGGGGAGACAGAATAATGGCTCCCAAAGTGTCCACGTCCCAATCCCTGGAACGTACGGATGTGTTATCTCATGTAGCAAAAGCGACTTTGCAGATGTGATGAAATTAAGAGTTAAGGTTATCCTGACCAACGGAATCAGGGGGGTCCTTTTAAGGAAGTAGGAGGGCAAGAGGAAGAGAGGGTAAGGAGACCAAGGCAGAGGTCGAAGCTATGTGCTTTGAAGATCGAGGCAGGGGGCACCGGCCAAGGAATGAGGTCATGGCTAGAAGCTGGAAAAAGAAAGGACACCGAGGCTCCAGAAGGAACACAGGTCCGCCATCACCCTGCTTTTAGTTCTGTGAAGACCATTTCAAACTCTGAACCCCAGAGCTGTCAAGACTATAAATCTGTGGGGTTTCGCACCAATACTAAAATTGTGGCAAGATACACTTAACACTTACCATCTCAGCCATTTTTAAGTGTACAGTTCGGGGAGGGGGTGTCAAATATATTCACACTGTCATGCAGCCCTCACCACCGTCCGTCTCTCTCCAGAGCTGAAACTCTGTATTCATGGAGCGCTAAGTCCCCGTTCCCTCGCTCTGTGCAGCTCGTGGTAACCGTTGTTTGCTGTCTCCATTATTTTGACTACGCTAGGGACCTCATATAAGTGGAATCATACAGTATGTGTGTTTCGTGATTTGCTTATTGCACTGAGCTCAAGGCTCATCTGTGTTGTAGCAGGTATCAGAATGGCCTTCCTTTTTTAAGGGTCCATAATATTCCATTATCTGTATATACTACCTTTCCTCCATTCATCTGTGGGTGGACACTTTGGTTTGCTTCCACCTTGTGGCTCTTGTGAGTAATGCTGCTAAGAACAGGGGTGTACACATCTCCCTGAGACTTAGCTTTTAATTCTTTCGCATAGCTACCCGGAAGCAAAATTGCTGGATCACATAGTAGGTCTCTTCTTAATTTTTCGAGGAACCGCCAGATTGCTTTCCGCAGCGAAAGCGCTATTTTACATGCCTACTAACGAAGGGCAAGATTCCACTTTCTCTGCATCCTCATCAACGCTGGCTATCTTCTGGTTTTTGGGGGTTTTGTTTTGTTTTGATAGTAGCCATTCTAATGGGTGTGATGTGGTAATTTGTGCTGTTTGAAGACCCCGAGCTGGTAGTAATTTAGTAATGCAGTAATCTCCTGTTAAGCAGCAACAAGAAATGAATGCATTCCCTCCCTCACTACACTGGTTTCCCTTCTGGTTTTCAAAGAGGACAAGATCTTTCTCACCTCAGGGCCTTTGCACCTGCTCTTTCCACTGCTGAAATGTTCTTCTCCCGGCTCCTAGTATGGCGGTTTCCTTGCGGGCCGTCAGGTCTCCAGCTCAGATGCTCCTTCGGAAGGGCCTTCCCTGATTCTCCCGGGAACGTCTCTGTTTGGTGCGCTTGCTGCTGTCCCAAACTGTCTTGCCTATTCTCATCTTTCCTCCTCTGATGGTCACTGTTACTAGACTGTGAGCTCCCTGAAGACAGAGACCTGCTCTGCGGTTGGCATCTGGAGTAGATCCTGGGACATAGTGGGTGCTCATACACACTTGCTGGCCCGTCCTCTGCACAGCTGGTGTCTGGTGCCGGGAAGAGGTTTCTATGAGGACCTGAGAAACGAGCACCGGTTGCCTCACTCTGCACAACTGAGACAGCTCTGGGACCAGTGCTTAACCACCCATCTTGGCGGGTTGAGGTGTCCTGGATTTGCCGCCCGTATCCCAGGGCACGTCTGCAGGAGGCACAGAATGACTTGCAGGGCTCCCTAGGGCAGGGGGCAGGGGGCAGGGGGGCGGAGCTGCACCAAGGGCGCGGGACTTCGGGGCCCAGCCTCTCAGCCCGAGCGCGCTGAGTAGCGCAGCCCCTTGCTGGCCCGCACTTGCCTCTCTTGCCTCATCGGTTGCTGGAGGATGGCCCAAGAGCAGAGCCACGTGGGCGGCCACTTCCCATCTTGAGCTTCGTTTAGCCGCCCTGGGGCCTCCAAGCCACGTCCTTACTGCCCCCTGGTGGACAGCTCCGTGCAGGGTTCTTCTCTGATGGAGAAAAGGCCCGGTCCCACAGCAGAATGCTGCCCCCTGCTGGCTGTCTCGGGAAGCGGCTCTCATCCAGACGGATAGTTTAATGGGGTGACAGTGTAGTCCTGCTTAGGTCCCAAATCCTGTATGGCAACATCCCAAGGTAGAGAAACTGCAGCCTTCCGTGCCACTCATCTGCCGCACCATGTCTACCCAGTTCTGTTGTTCAACGTGCACAAGATGGGGGAGCCCAGCAGGAAGCCCAGTGCCTGAACACGCATTCCCCAACCCCCCCACCCCCCA